TTCGACATTCCAATCTTCATTTCGCTCTTTTATCCAAATGGGCAACCAAAGACAGCAACCAGAACCGGCGCACGAAAGTGCATGGTTAATGGTTGTAAAAACTGAAAACTGTTTATCAAACAACAACTACACTCTGATACTGTCTAAGCAGTCGTGCTCTTTGGCCGAATTTCTCCACGTGCATGCTCTCGTCACGCAACCGTTAGAGTACACTAACGGTACATCGATTCACATTTGCGTGACACTGTTCAATTTCGTCAGTTCCATGGTAAAAAACCTCACCCGTTCTCTTCTGTCGGATAGCCACTATCCTTTTCGCGGAGTTCTACGTTCTGATCGAATACAATAAACCATTGGCCGTCGGCGTACTCCACAATCCCAGTAGAGGAACTGTCATCCGAAAACAGTGAATTTGTTCCGGAGTTGACAAAGAGAATAATGAATATTAGTTTACCTGAACTAGCAATATTATCATTGGTGGAAGCGCCGAAAAACGATATAAAGTTTAAAGCAGAACTGTCACACCACGTGTGCCTCGTCGACAACGATCTCGAGGCATATCTGCGATAGTCTTCAACCAGAAGCACTTGCCATATTTGGAAGCCCCGTCTAAAAACCAAGAGCACCCTACCGCGGATTTTGATGACCATGACTTCTCTCTTTCGGTCCGGACCAAAGACTGATCCCCCACCGATAGATCGAAGACAACAATCGGGTTTTATCTATTTCTTTTTCAATTTAAGATGTCCAAATAACAATATAGATGTCACAGCATCGATTTAATATGTCATTTTGGTATGTGGATAGCACCCAACAGAGTACAGGGTAGAAACATTCCATGTTACCACTATGTACCCAGTTTCAGTGTAGACGTGTATGGCGCAAGCCGCAGGAGCCAACTATCAGTGTATTCTGGTTCTATGAGCACTTCTTCCAAACCTGTATGACGTGGCGCGTTATCACACAAGATCACAGTGTTTCTCCTTTGGTTATCGGGAAGATTGTCCAGAACGCCACGTAACCAAGCTTGGGAGGTTTCCTTGGTAAACGACCCACATTTCAGTGTATAGTCAATCATGCCATGCTCCGACGTAGCCCGAAGAAGGTGGAGATTTCGTCCTTTGCTGCTTGCATGAACGCAGCGAGCTTTCTCTTCCCATAGGGATCGACCACGTGTTCTCGTGCAAAAGAGTTTGAAATTTTCCGAGATGCATGCTTAGCATTTGTATGCTGACTTATTTTCATCGGTCCGTACAGTGTTTTTTCCTTCATCGATACATAAATGTATTTGCTGAAAAAACTATCTTCCCAATTTTTTTCATCGGAATTGATATTATCCGAAAAGAGGTATATTTTCTTCATTTTCACCAGTCGTCCATCCAAATAATTGCTGACTGTGTCACAACAGACCTCTTTTCCGTATTCCGCCTTTAACCTCAGTCATGATGTCTCCAAATAGACTGTACAGCTCTCACTGACCCATCCATCCAACTGATTTATTTCTTATTCGCACAAACTCTTCCTCTTGTATCCGCCATGTCGTCTATTTATACGATTATGTTTATCGAATACCCAACGGTAAGCTGTTCATACGTGCACACCCAGAGCAACGGCGGTGGTATGCCAATTGGCATCATCTCTCGTAAGCAGCCAAACCAAGACACAGTCTCGTCGGCGTAAGGTTTTCTTGATGTACGGCCAGCCATTGAATCACGTTGCTAAATTGTGTTTTTGGATCATACAAAGCTGACCTATTGCCTCATTTGCGATCAGTATACATTAGACCACAGACCGAGTATGTTATTTAGGCTTGGAATCCATGGCTAATTCCATACCAAAAGGCACTCGAACGTCCACAGAGAACAGCAACCATAATGGCCAAAGTGTGACAATCCAAAAACCTACGTTGGAAGGCTGATTAGTCTAGGACACTATTCGTCTGAATACTGTTGAGTACGCGGAAAATGTATCTCGTATATCAAATACTACATCATTCTCATCACTCGTGTAGTATTCTACTAACACTATCCAGCAATGGTCACTTCAGACGAAATCCCTTTAAACTTCTGCTCCAAAAGCGTCACACATCCATCCTCAGAGTATGTACTACCTGAAACTCTCTTCCACCGGAAGTTGCTTGCGCACCAACCACCGATTCATTCAAATCACGGCTCGATGAAGAATTCAAACACCAAACGTTTTAGCACCTGTGAGTAAACGTTATAATTTGCGATTGAATTATTTTATCAACCAGATTCTATGGGATTCAATAAGCATCAGTGTAGTATTGTGAATTAAGCCACATGATTGTCGAGTTTTTTATTACATACCAGTGTGTGATAAACATGATCACGAAGACCTGCTGTTCAGTGATGGTAACCGACAACCTGAGCCCCGAGACTTGGAGTGGCAAATCACATAAGGCCCAGGTGTAGTATAGAACCGAGCGACAGCAAAGCTGCCTACCACCAAAGTTGGGTGGCGGTGGCGGAACTCCAACTTCGGACCATAGGGTCCAAAGCACGTCGGTGAAAGCGACTAAACCACTGCGCCACCACTACCCTAGAATGGAATATACCACACTGTTGGGAATATATACTTTCAAGTTCCGACATTGAACAGTTGACCTTGTTCGATACCCATCAGCCTACCACACATTGAGAAACTTCTTTCTTAACAATGAAATCGCTAGAAATTCAACTGTGTAACCTACACGGAGCTAAATAGAAAGGATATGATGATCAATGACGTCCACGAGGAATGATCGCAGATGCGAGTGAACACCAATTAAAAGCGGTCAGTCACTAACTGATTTCCAGGAAACAGGAATACAATAATCAGGTGAATACTGGTGTTTGTGAACGCGCGTAAAACAGACCGCAAACACGTCAAACCGAGACCTGCTGAGGGGTTATGAAAACCCTAGCCAGCATACTGGATCACATAGGGCCCGTTAAGCTCCCTGGCTGGGGACTTCGAGATCAAAGTCACCGGTGGTTAGGGACACTGAGTGATATGACTGGGTGTAGCAAACAGTGGCGCTCATGTATCTACTCATTATTCTTGTAACCCCAGTCTATAGGAATTCTCCATCCATTCTCCATCTTACGCTTCAATTTGCTCGCAACATTTCAATCTTCATTCTGCTCTTTTGTCCAAACGAGCGGCTGAAATTCAGTAACCAAAACTCGTGCACAAAAGTGCACGGGTAATAGTTGTAAAAACTGAATCTGTACCATGTTCGTGCATCTTGTCAATTTTTCTGCAACATCAGTGCAAGAAAATTCTAGATTTTCTCTTTGATCCTACTATTAACCTACCTGTTTCTCTCCTAATGTTCATTTAAGTGAGCAGCCAAGAGACAGCAACCAAAATCGGCGCATTGAAGTGCACGGTCAAAACAAAAACTGAAACTGATGAACCACGAACAAAGTGTACCTTGTGCAAATGAAATCGTTAAATTTTGTAGTCAATCGGTGTGAAACTGATCAATCGAATTCGAAAAATAAACGGAAACGGTTTGTCTTACCGGTTTTTGCCGTTTTCCGCACGCTCTCTGCTGGTGCCACAATATGGTCTGATGATAGCACAACAAGGAGAGCCACACACTTTGACAAACACGTTGTAGACACGTGTGAACGGAACGCAGCGGAATACGCTAGAAAAGACAGATCAACAAAAAAAAATGAAATCGAATTGAAAGGAAAGGAAACCACAGCACAGAAAATCGCAGTTTAAGATACGGCAGAGCTGTCCTTGAGAAATGTCTTCCAATGAATCCGCTCGAGAAGTACGTTAGCAAACTAAAAGCTGTTTCTGCTAATGCATTAGATCAACTCGGCATCCAGGATGACATCTCATCTTCTTTCTCAATCACCATTGGTGTATGAGAAGGTTGTTCGACACTACCCTTCCTAAGCAGCTCCTGGAAGGAGTCGCATATTACGCAACCAGTGCTATCAAACAACTTCCAGATGAGAGACCTAAAAATACTCAGATGACGTGGCTTTGTTTTCTGACTTTCTAATATTCGGGCCCAAATATCCTGCACATATCAGGTATGACCCGTACTGCAGTTTGACAAGATCCCTATTGCTGGAAAAACGAGGAAAAGCTGTTGGCTCTATGATTTGACCAGTACCTATTCTTCAACATTACAGACATCGGTTGCCGGTGCATCGGAAAGCTTAGGTCTTCCTCGAGTTAGCGATTCACTAAGCTCTACCACTTCACAATAAGCTATAAATGTCGAGGTAAAGTACAAAACAGCAAAATGTACTCGAGCACGCGCAAACCCCACCTTTCCTTGGTAAAGGAAGTTGTCTGCACCGGGCTGTACTTTGGTGCGTGTTCCAAACACAGGGAAAGTAACGGGCAAGCTGCGATACGCTGTTCCGACTGTCCTTAGAAAGCGCTGGCTCACAACTATATACATTTTTCAATTTCAGATGTCATGTTGCTATGTGGATAGTTCTTTACGGAATACGGGGTAGAAACGTTCCATGGTACCATTGTGTACCCAGATCCATGTGCGTCCTACCTGTATACTGACCTATGGCTCCCGAAAGTACTATCCCACTCTCAGTAGAGGTACACATCGACAAGGATCTTTGCTAGCACACACACAGACTGGACAATGCAACCCACAGTTCAGTCAGAACTACCTCAGCATGTGCAAACTGACCGGTTGAATATGAAACAGGCGGAGCAGTTTTAGTGGGGGCTCTCACGATGACCTCATTTCTCACTTGGTAGGGCGAACGAGCCTCAGACTGAACAGTGCTCACCACGAACGTTCATGATCTCATAAATCAAGTGTTCTCGGTAGAAACGGTGTAGTAGCGGATGACGTAAATGAGTTAAACATTCAGTACACCACTGAAAGAGATCGTGAGTTAGATTCAGCCGCGTGACAACTGGAACACAATAGTCTTGTGTAAAATGTGTACCGCAGATATCACGTGCTACGGAAAGGTTTGGGATATTCTTGTTTGTGTGTGGCGAGTATGTTTACTTGTGAGTCAGATGACTGATAGACTCGGAAGGGCCTAGTGAATGAACTTAATCGCATTCGATAAAATACTTGGTACTTTGATTTAAGTGACATTTGATATTTTCTGCATCTTCGGTTGCATTCCAATGGCTGGCCGTACATCAAGAAAACCTTACGCCGACGAGACTGTGTCTTGGTTTGGCT